CTGAAGCCCGAGGAGAGAGCGCCCCTCAGCGAGCCCTGAGCTCCAGCCCCTGGCCCGTGTGTCGGGGCAGCTGCCCCTCTTACCAGTGGGTAACCAGCTCACCATCTGGCCGTGGGGCTCAGAGCTGCAGGAGAGTGTAGCCAAGCTGGACACGGCCCCTCCCTCAAGCCGTGCCCATGGGCAAGAGAGGCCACACCCTCCAAGGTCAGTGGTGGCCAAGCAGGGTCGTCTTGTCCGAGGATTCAGTCGCTCCATCTGTCCTCAGAGAGTTGGAGGAAAAGGTCTCCCCAGCACCCAGCTCCCAGGACCCACCCAAGGTCCAAGCTTGTGTGCATGCCCTGCCCCCTGGTGTTCGCTGTCGGTAGTGCAGCCTGAGAGGGGAGCCGGGTGGTCATGGGCATGGGGACACTTTCTGATGGGCCTTGGCTGTCTGCCTTCCAGGGGAGACTGATCAACTTCGAGAAGAGGAGGAAGGTGAGCAGCCACCGCCCTCACTTTGGGGCGGGAAATCAGACGCCCCCAGCGCACGCTCTTGGCTTCCCCCTTCCTGTTGTATTAACGGGGAGAGCTGGATGCAGAAGGGAGACCCTCTCCCAGAGGAGGGTGGGGAGCAGGAGTGAGCACCCAGGACAGTTTCCTGGGGAGGGGCTGTTGGAACCCGGCTGAGGATCGGGCCAGGCCTGGGTGGGGGCAGAGAAGAGGAGGTGACCCAGCACCCCACTCAGGCCCTCCCCGCCCCGCCCTGCCCTCTGGCCCCAGGAATTCGAAGTGATCGCCCAGATCAAGCTGCTGCAGTCCGCTTGCAACAACTACAGCATCGAGCCCGAGGAGCAGTTCGGGGCCTGGTTCCGGGCCATGGCGCGGCTCAGCGAGGCCGAGAGGTGAGGCGGGCGGGGATCGGGCGCGTCACAGGCTTCAGGGCCTGCGGCACGGGCTCTTGTCAGCATCGACCCTGTTGCCTGGCGAGGTGGCCGGGTGCCCACACTCCAGCCGCTGGCACGTGCCGGGAGGGACACTGAGAGTGGCTCCTGTAGCTCACAGCTGCCGCCCTGTCCCGCAGCTACAGCCTGTCCTGTGAGCTGGAGCCCCCCTCCGAGTCGGCCAGCAACACTCTGAAGGCCAAGAAGAGCACGACCATCGTCAAGCGCTGGAGCGAGTGGGTGCCACGGGCTGGGGTCCCCTGGGGGCAGCGGGAGGCCGCCAGCTGGAACTGAGATCCCAGCTCCTCCACTGACCAGCCCTGTGACCCGGGAAGTCACCTCACCTCCCTGGGCCTCAGTTTCCTCCTCTGCAACGGGGGTGATGCTAAATGATGTTACATGGCCTGAGCCAATGGGGTGCCTGGAGCAGAGTGTGGGGGGCGGGGAGGGGATGTGTCCCAGGGGAGGCCTCCCCCGAGTAACCCAGCCCTCCCTCCAGCCGCCAAGCCCCCAGCACGGAGCTGAGCACCAGCGGCAGCTCGCACTCCAAGTCCTGCGACCAGCTCAGGTGTAGCCCCTACCTCAGCGGCGGGGACATCGCCGACGCGCTCAGCGTCCACTCGGCCGGCTCCTCCAGCTCCGACGTGGAGGAGATCACCATGAGCTTTGTCCCTGAGTCCCCCGACGGCCAGGAAAAGAAGGTGACTGCCCCCCAGCCCTTCGCAGCCCCTCCCTTCCGGGTTCCAGTGTGTCCCCCCCTCCACACCCACAAAAGGGGCCAGGAAGCCCCTCAAAGCCCCCAGAGCTGGGCCCCCGCCTGGGGCTCCCTGCAGGGCTCGGGGCCTCTGCTGACCGTGCCGTCCCCACAGTTCTGGGAGTCGGCCTCCCAGTCGTCCCCGGAGACCTCGGGCATCAGCTCGGCATCCAGCAGCGCCTCCTCCTCCTCGGCCTCCACCACGCCCGTGGCCAGCGCCCGCACTCACAAGCGCTCCGTCTCGGGGGTCAGCAGCTACAGCGCCTCGCTGCCGCTCTACAACCAGCAGGTGGGCGACTGCTGCATCATCCGGGTCAGCCTGGACGTGGACAACGGCAACATGTACAAGAGCATCCTGGTGAGCGGGCGCGGTGCCCCGTGCCCCCCTCTGCCAGGCAGCACAGGACTGGACGCCTGTCCGTCCGCCCTCCTTCCAGCGGGTCAGGGAGGACAGGAGTGAAGAAGCCAGGCTCGGCGACCGGATGAGGGCAGTAGACATCCGATCACAGCCAGGGAACAGGTCTCGGGGAGCACCGGGCAGTGTCCCAAGGAGGGGGGTTCCCAGGGGCTGGAGGGGCAGTGAGCAGGCCCGAGGTGAAGGAGCGGGGCTCAGGGGTAAGAGGGTGGGGGAAGTGTCGGGGGCTGGGGGGACGGGAGTCACTGGAGGTCGGAGCAGAGGAGGGCAGAGAGACCTATGACTGTCTCCGGGGGACGGGCTGGTGCCAGGCTGGTGGCCGGGGGGGCGGCCAGCGATCAGACACTGCATGGAATTTGAAGGTCGAGATCCATCCAGCGGGATTGACCTGTAGGGGTCCCCACCACTGGGTAGGGTGCCCCGTGCCACAGTTGCCTGGATGACCCTGTGTCTGAAGCCGCTGGACTCTGGCCCTTGGGGTGGACACAGCAGGGGTCGCCTGGCCTGTGCGGATCACGGCGGCAGCCTCCATCCTGGCGGGCCTGGCACATTGGTGGCCCCTGGCCCCCACCTCCAGGGTTGTCTGGCCCCAGGCTCATGGGTACTGTTGTGGAGGGGCAGTTGGTTGCCCAGGAAGTGTGGGAGGAGGTGGCAGGCCTGTGAGAGGATGGGGAGCAGGAACAATTGGGAAAGACCCCTCGTCACTGCAAGGCCTCCCCGGGGAGGTGGCGAGCCCCCCACAGACGGAGCACCCGGCCAGAGGCTCTGAGCCCCGCGGTACGGGGCGGCTTGGAGAGCCCCTGGCCACAGCCCCCTGACGGCCTGACTCGCCCGATCCAGGTGACCAGCCAGGACAAGGCTCCAGCTGTCATCCGCAAGGCCATGGACAAGCACCATCTGGACGAGGAGCAGCCGGAGCAGTATGAGCTGGTGCAGGTCATTTCAGACGAGAGAAGTAAGCGGGGC